ACCAACTTGAGTTGCAACCAGAGTCACGGAACGGATTAAGTTCATAACTAGAGGTACCACTACAGTTTTGCTGAAGCATTTATCATAGTCTGTGCTAATTTAACTCTAACAAAAGTTTGTGTCTTTTTGGCAATGGGAATAGCAACAGTCAAAACAGCAATCAGAATTGCAAATGTGCTCATCTTTCTTCTGTGCATCCCAGTATCTTTGTATTAAACAGGCTTTGAAATACTCTGTTTAGTAAGTATAATTTTCTGAACTCGGCATTTGTAGTTGTGGTGTAGGTTTTGACTAATAATATGTTTTAAAAGATTCCAGGACATGCACCATGGCAAATTGCCAATATGGTTGTGAAGAAGTGAAAGATGATGTGCAATGCTTGTGTCCGTCAAGTGGACTTCAGTTAGCACCAAATGGAAAAACCTGCATAGGTACGTTAATTGTTTTTATGCTCTTGATATTATTATTGCAAACATTTCTCGGAATCTGGCATGTGCTTCATGTATATATGGATGAAATAGCAACTTTAATTCTAGAATAAATATTACAGAATACCCCTAATATGCACATCCTGAGTATATGTCAGTATACTACATGCTCCTCCTAGTTGGTGGGATGCAGGCAGCAGTATGTTGACTTGCAAGGTAATATCTAGAAATCCTAGTTACAGGCAATGCTTGGAGTAAAACTAAGCTGAATTTGTGCCATACTGGCCAAAATGTGCCAGAATCACAGTACTGTCCTTACTATCCTCACTTTGACTGTATAACAAGAATACTTTGTTATATATCTTTCATATATCATATGTCATATATCTGTATCTTTTTCTCTTTACACACAGTATGCAGTATCTTTCTCAATTTTAAGCATACTTTTTGCAGCAATAATTCTCTTTTACCTCATCATTCCACCAATATCCTTTTTTCATACTTCCCATTAATGTAACTCCACAGCAATTCTGTGGCACAATTCTTGTCCCTCTGTTCCAAGAACTTTTACAACCATTTTGCTTATCTACATTTTCCATTCATTCTGTTGAGAGAATATTTTTTTTCATGAAAGACTTGTACTTTATCTTCCTGCACTAATTCTACTTTCACTCTCATTTCTTCATTCTTTTCCTTTTGTTTCATATCCATTTTCAAAGATTAAAAGAGGCAAAGAAAATGCAGAGCTATTTTGATAGATATAAAAAAAATTTGGAAATTGGTGAAGAAGATTAAATAAGAAGGCTTCAGCAAAGTGAATGGAATTAAAAATAAAAGTGCTAAAATGATTTGGGGTAAAACTGAGGTGTGGGTATACTGGAAGGAGTATATTAGAGATGGTTATGGGAATGACAATGAATGTTATAAATTTTAGTGTCAAAGAAAACATCAGTGAAAGTCATAAATACTGAAAAATCATCAGGCTGTAAGTATAGATGGAAAACTAGAAAAATATTAAAATATGGCTGTAGTTTGCTTATGGAGTAATTATGCAACTTGGTCAATATGAAAATGAAGATTGCGTACAGCCTAATGCCTGAAAGAATCTGTTGACTTATACAAAGAGAGAGAGAGAGAGAGAGAGAGAGAGAGAGAGAGAGAGAGAGAGAGAGA